TTAGTTTATATTTAGTAAACTTAAGTATTTTATATGGTATAGATATTATAAAGATATTTCAGGATTTATTATAGGTTATAAAATTAGGTTATTAATATAGGTTTAAGGGTAAAGAAGAGGAAGAGGGAAGGGTATAAAGCCTTACTTATAGTAGTAGAGTTTTTATACTTCTAGTTATAAGAACCTCTTATAATAACCTCTTTAGTTAAGGAGTTATCTCTCTTATAGTAGTATTACTAAGCTATAAGAGCTTTAATAACCTATTTAGCCCTAATATAATTAGCCTTACTATATATAGTGCTACTACTACTAGCTTTATACTATATAGCTAGTGCTATTACTATTCTATTAGTCTATTTAGCTAGGGTATATATTTAACTTTATATAGTAATATTTAGAGAGTTTACTTATTAATAGGAATATATAGGGTTTCTATACTATTTTCCTTAACTAGTAGAGGGTATAGGTTAAAGTACTTATATAGTGTTTCTAGAATTATACCTATGTATAAGGTGAATTTTGCTATAGTTTTTTTATAGGGGGGCTGCGTTATAACTATAAACTTAATCTCTATATTAATTTTAAAGCTATATAACTCTATTATACTACTTTTATTAACTATCTTAAGTAGGTATTTCTAAGTAAATTTAAAGAGAGTTTTCTTATTAATATAAAGAAGGTTATTATCTTTAAAGTTCTTAATTTTATTAACTTTAGTTTTATAGATTAAGCTATTTAGTATAGCTTAACTTAGCCTATATAGAGTTATAATAAGTAGGAAAGATAGGATAGTTATTATAGTTATAATATATATAAGAAGATATAAGGAATAAGCTTAAAGCTTTATTTAAAGTAGTAGTTAAGTTTTTATATTATAGCTATAAGAATCTTTTTAGCTATATAAAGAGTTATATTATTAAGTTTATACCTTTAAGTATAAGTTTAAGCTATTATTAGGTTCTAGTTATATTATAAATAATATTAATATAGGTATAAGCGTATTTAGGGGTGTAGTATATATATATATATAATATAAGGTTATAGTTTATATTATAATAAAAGGTAATAATCTAAAGTATTTATAGGTATTTAATAGTATAGATAATGATAAGGGAATAGATATATTATAATAACTTTAGTTATTATTATTAGTAGGTTATATATTCTCTAGTAAGGAAAAGTGAGGGGAAAGTGTAAAATATATATTATATATTTTATAAGCTTTAGTAAAGTAATATATGATTATTATTTAATNATATTATATAATTAATATTATAGTTATAAGTTATAATAAATAGAGTATTTTTATATAATATTTAGTACCTTAAACTTTATTAGTTTATTTTATATAGAATATTAAAGGAAGTTAAGCGTTATTATTATTCTTATATTATTATTATTATTATAAGAGAATATTATATATTAATAAATAATACTCTTACTAGTGTATTTTACTACTTTACTACTTACCTACCTACCTTTTTCTACTAAAGATAAGTTAAGCTAAGTATTAATAACTAGTTATATTAAGATTTATTTATTTATTTTATTAAGATTAGGTATAGGTTAAAGTATTACTATTAGGTTTAAAGTATTAGGAAAATAAGTATAGAGTGAACTATAATACCTACTTATATAGGTTAAATAGACTATTAATATATTTTAAAAACTTAAGATATTTTAAGTGTAATTATAAAAGTATTTCTTTAAATTATTATAAATATAGGTTTAAAAGTATTTCTTTAAACTTCTTATTTAAATTTAGCTTTTATTAAGAATTTAAGCTAAGTAAAGTTTAAGAGATCTTTATTAACTATTTTTATAACTTAGTTTTAGATTTCTTAATATTTATTAAAGTTTATTATTTAAATATCTCTTTTATATTTACTTTAAATCTCTTAAATATAAAAATATAACTTATAATAATTAAAAAAGTATTAAACCCCTAATTAATAGTTTAAGTTTATAGTTATAACGCAGCCCCCCTATAAAAAGACTATAGTAAAATTCACTCTATATATAGGTATAATTTTAGAAACACTATATAGGTATTTTAACCTATACCCTCTACTAGTTAAGGAAAATAGTATAGAAACCCTATATACTCCTATTAGTAAATAAACCCTCTAAATATTACTATATAAAGTTAAATATATACTTTAGCTAAATAGACTAATAGAATAGTAATAGCACTAGTTATTATAGTGTAAAGCTAGTAGTAGTAGTACTATATATAGTAAGGCTAATTATATTAGAGCTAAATAGGTTATTAAGGCTCTTATAACTTAGTAATAGCTTTATTAAACCTTCTAGTAAGGTATTATAAATACTACTATATAAGAGATAACTCCTTAACTAGAGAGGTTATCTTAAGAGGTCCTTATAACTAAAAGTATAAAAGTTCTACTATATATAAAGCCTTATATTTTTCCCTCTTCCTCTTCTTATAACCTATAAAAAACCTTTATAATATTAATACTTAAGCCTATATATAGATACCTTAAACTTAATATACTTATTAATATAAATAATATATAACCCTATATAGCGCAGTAGTGTGCGCCTAGTAGGCCTATATATTACCTAAACGTATAGGCGTTAGTTTAATCCTAACTATAGGAACCCCTTTTCCTCTCTTCTAATTAGTTAAGGACCTACTATAAAAAAGTGGGTTCCTCCCTTAAGGGACCTATATATATAGTGGGGTACTAATAGCCTCTAATTAATTATTATATAGTATTATATATACGCGTATTATCTACTTAATTATATATTACGTAACGTAGCCTAAGTTTTCTTCTTATAAAGGGTTTCTTAGTAGTATATTGTTTAGTATTAAGTCTTAGTATAGAGTAGTAAGGCCTTAAGCCCTCTAGTATAGAGTGAATAGAGGGGGAAGTACCCTCATACCGTCTAATATAAATAATATATAAAGGTTTATTATAGAGTTTAATATTAATTAAATTAATAAAAACTTCTCTTTTTTAGTATAACTTAATATATATAAAGAGTATATAATTAGGATAATACTTAAGAGAGTTCTTATTAATACCCCTATAAGGAACTTTAAAATATATATTTTAATTAATAGTAAATATATAAACTTAGTAATAGAGGTAAATAGAGTCCTTATATATTTTATAAAGTAGTTCTTCTTTAAATAGGCCCTCTATAATACTAAAATAGAAGTAGCTCTTTAGGGATTAATAAGTATATTTTATATTAAATAGAGAAAGTATTACTAATAATAGTATAGTTATAAAGGTATTAACTAGCTTAATTAAATAAGAAGACTAATAGTAGATAGTAAAGTAATAATAGAGATAGTATTAATAGTATAAGTAATATATAAGAGAGAGGATAGGTTAATAATTTAGTAATTAGTAATTAAGTAGTTAAGTAATTATAAACTATATTATTATTAAAGTAAAGTTAAAGATTATAAAGTTATATATATATATATATAGCTATAGTTAGGAGAGTTACTATTATATAACTAAAGACTATATATATTATTAAGAGGTGTAAAGTTAAGAGGTCTATCGCTCTAAGTAGGTAAAAATCACTATAAATAGCTAGAGGCCTTAATTAATAGTTTTATTAAATATTAAGATTTAAAAATAGAAAGAATAAATAAAATCCTCTTAAATTCTTAATTCTCTATAATTTAATAATAATAATATTTTAAATATTTATAAATATAATAAATATAGGTCTTTTTTATAAAAATAATAACCTTAAAGAGATTCTTATATTAATTCTTAAAAAGATTTAAAATATTTAAAATATCTTAATTAAT